GATAAGGGGATCATGAATTATGATGAATAGGAAAAAGGTTAGTGTGAAATGGGTCAATTCAAGTTAAAAGAGGGTTGCTGATTTTTAAGAGTGAGAAAGAAAGGGGTTGTCTTTGTTTTTGTTGGTTGGGAGGTAAAGAAGAGACCAAAGAGGTGTGGTAGTTGTTGAAGGTAGTCTTGATGATTGGTTCAGATCATTTGTGGCAAGGAGCTGATCACGATAGGGAAAAAGCGAAGAAAACATATGGTCTATTTTGACTTTGTTAAAGAGAGGAAATGATGAATGGTTGGCTTATGTCCTTGTGGTTACAGATTGTGGTAACGAAAGCTGTTGGAGTCAGGCAATAGGTGTTGGTTCTTTGAGAGATTGAGAGTGAAGAGGTTGATTTGCTCTTGGTGGAGAGTTAATAGCTGCTAGTTTGGGAAGATATGCTAGATTTTGATGGACAAAAACTATCTTTAGAGGGAGGTGAAGAGTCTATGTTTTTCTATATTAGTAACAGAGAGCAAGATAAACCATAGGGTAATGAGGTGATAAAAAAAAAATAACAAATGAAAATTGTCATTTCTTTTTTTTTTATATTATTTTGTATGTGGTATTGTTTTGTGTGTGGTGTGTGAGGAGAACGAGAACGGGTCAATTTTTTTGGTTTTCTTCTTAGTTATGAAAATTTTTTTTTTATGTATCTTATTTTTTGTCATAGGGTAATGAGGTGATAAAAAAAAAAATAACAAATGAAAATTGCCTCTCTTGTGAATTTTTAAAGAAGGGAAATCATGGTCATTTCTTTTTTTTTTATTATTATTTTGTATGTGGTATTGTTTTGTGTGTGGTGTGTGAGGAGAACGAGAGCGGGTCATATTTTTTGGTTTTCTTCTTAGTTATGGAATTTTTTTAGGAGTTGTGTTTTGGTGTGCAATAAATGCTCTTAATTAATTGTCCTCTTATTTTATATGTGAGATTCCCTCAATATTTATAGGAAAAATAATTTGTCCTTTTCCTCCTAATTGCTTGGTCTCTAAGCAAACTTGGTGGCTAAGCAACCAAAAATCACTTTGGTCCCTCACCATATTTCTTTCTTTACACTTTAAACAATCCAAATATATCAAAAATATATTTTTTGAACTCTTTGTTATTTGTTGCTATTTTTTTTCATTTTTCAAAAAAAAAGTAAAAAAATCGGGTTATAACAATTTATATAAAACCTAGAGAAAATATTGATGATAACATATATTAATTAGTAATTTGAATGAAAAATATTATTTGTACCCAACTAATTAGCTATTATTAGTTTAATTCAAACTTATTTAATCTATTATAATAATACTTTTAAATCATTATCAATTTTCTCTAAAAAATCAAATTTCTCAAAATTTACCAAAATTTTCAACTTAACAATTAAATTGATTAAATGTGAAACACACCTATTAAATAAGTCATTATTTATTTCATTATAAAAAATATAAGTTACAAAATCAAAACCAATTTCATCAAATGACAAACAAATATTTTTTTTTTAAATCTCAAACAAACTCTAATATGTACAAATTATACATTCATATAACAAATTTCTATAGGAAAAAACTATAAAACAAGTAAATACATAAATAAATTATATATACTACATAAAAATGCTAAAAATTAACATTTTCAGAATGGGTTACAACAAAAAATAGGTAGTTTTACTTAAAAAATATAAAACAAGTAAATACATAAATAAATTATATATACTACATAAAAATACTAAAAATTAACATTTTCAGAATGGGTTATAATAAAAAATGAGTAGTTTTGCTTAGTTAATATGGTAAATCTTCAAAAACAAAATTGAACTAGAATAGGGGTACTGACAAACCAAGTGTTGAGATGGCTGGATTTATGATAGTAAGAGCTTGATTTGTGATAAAATGAGCAGAGCAAAGATGTTATATGTTGTTTTCTATTTTTTTTAAAAAAGGAAGAAAAAGAAATGGAGGGAGGAGAGAGGTTGTATGTGATATTATAATTTAAATATTACTGATGGCAATTAGCGATTAACATATTTCTTCGGTAATTCCTAATGTAATAATGACACGTCACTTTTCTATATATATTTTTTTGTTTTTTATTCTTTAACTTTTAATAATAATTTCCTTAGTATTCACTAAAAAAATATTTTCATCAGTATGCCAAGAGAAATAATAACATCATATTTAATCGGTAAATATCACTATAATTTATTAACAATATTATTTTTATTAATATTTTTATTTGTATTTGATGATTTCTAATAGTATAACTATCAAAAACATGCCTTGGACCAAATCGATTTTAATGAATCGAAATCTATTAAAATAATAATAAATTCACATGATTATACAAATATCAAAATAATAACGAATTTATATCTTAGTTTAGTATAAACTAGGTGTTGGCAAAGTGATGGTGACTTTTCGTTTCCTTATACTGGTGTTCAGAAACCTTGGTTGTGTTAAAGGTGGCCTAACTTGAGTAAGTGGCTGCTTATGTCGACATATATGCATTTGGAAATTTAATTTTGTAGACCTACACCATGTTTTAATGCTTGTTTTATAAACTTCTCCTAGTTTTAATTGATGAAGAATGTTTTGCTTGATTTTCTTCATTCCATGTATGGGTTTTAGAAATCCAAACCTAGACGAAGCTTGCCTTTTCAACGTGAGTGGCTTTCTTATGATAAGATTTAGTAGTTTGGTTTTTTTTTTTTCTTTTTTATGGATTGCATTTGTTGGGTTGATTTTCTAGGTCAAGAGAATACCTAATGCTTGTTTAGTTATTTCCTAATCTTTTTTTCTTGTGCTAATTGGTGAAGATTTTGGTACTCTCTTGGAACCATTCCAGAATAAAAATCAACTGATAAGAAAGCCGCCGGCCCGCCCTTGCGAAACAACTATATTTTATCATGTTTGGTTATTCTGAAGGGAATGCAGGATAATTTTAAATCTGTGCAATATCAATTCGATCAAGGATATTTATCAAGAAATCTGTATAGTGACAAGGAGGTCAGCTCTTTTATTATTTTTTAAGTTCAAATCTTTGGACAAACTGTACGGATTAAAAAATAACATAACAAAAAAAATTCAAAGAAGATTATTTAACGTTATTATTAAATTAAACTCAGCAAATCAATTTTAAAATTTTATAATCTAACTCCTTATCTAATTTAAATTTAAAATTAAATCATGTGTAGAAGTTATCATGACGTGATTTAATTGATTTGATTGTTCTAAAAATAACTCGGTTGATAGGTAAAAAAGTTTAAGGATAAAATTAACAGAAAAACCTTTTCTACCTATCTTTTTATTTAACTCAAGTTTAAAATTAAATCATGCATAAGTTGACACAATATAACTTAATCAACTTGGTTAATTTAAAGATAATCCTTCAAAAAAATTACAAGGAAAAAATGATAAAATTAATAGAAAAAAAAGCATTTCAACCAAATTTCTTGACTCGCGTGATTTTAAAATTATAATGTGTTGGAATTTTCTTGATGTAATCCAATCAACTTAATCATTTCAAAAACAATTTGAATAATAGTTAAAATTAATGATAAAATTAAAAAAATATATATAAAAAAACTGAATTAGAAAAAAAATCACTATTTATATACATATATACTGAAGATACATGAAATTTTCCAAATGTTTTAAGTAGAGGAGCTTAGTAAGACACAAAAAAACTAAATTTATCCAGTGATGTGTTTTGGACCGTCTAAATCATTACTAGACGAACAATATCATGCAACAATCAGTCAACGAGATTCTCTCCCTTTTTCTATATAATAAAAAACTTCAGCTTATATATGCTTTCTTTTGGTCATATATTTCAAATACAACGTGTTAGAAAATAATTTAATTATAAAACTAATGTTTATAAATTCAATTTTGCTCCAAGTTTTGTAACTAGTTCTTCTAAATTTATGGTAATGTAAACTGACAAATGGATGGATATATTAAACTATTGAAAGCTTGGGGATGATTTTAAAAGTTCGGGACTGATTTATTAGAAACTGCAGTTGAGGACTGATTTTTAGTTATCTCAAAAACTTAAAAAATAATAATATGATACTTGTAATTTTTGGAGTGTTTTCTGAAAAATAGCATTTTTCAAGATAAAAATAAAAATGAAAACTAGCATAGTTCAATTTTTTTAAAGAAAATAGCAGATAACATTGGATTATATTATTGATAACAACGCAACCTTTTTTTTAATATTCAATTTTTTTTATTTTTAATTAAATCATCAATTTTTTTTAAATGTACCATATAAATATGAATCCAAATCTTGTCTCTACCTTTCCTAAACAAAATTATTTCTTCACAAGTTAATGATATGTTCTAGATAAAAATTTTGTTTTATGTATTTTTTTATTCTTAATATTTTATGTATTTTTTTAATAAGTTTTTTTTTCAAGATTTTTATTCATGATTATTAATTAACTATTAAGTTAAGGAATCATATTAAAATTTAAATTTAAATTGATTACAACTGACCTATTAGAAAGTCTTAGGGAATCCTATTGAATTTTAAATATTTGAATATAGCTAATAATATCATTAAATTTTAATTTTACTATAATTAATTATTTTCATTGATAATTATCATAATTATTAATTAACTTAATAGGTAAATTCTTTTGAAATTTAAATGGAATTAACCTATTAAGAAGGAATGCCATTGAATTTTAAAATAGTCAATGATTATTATAATTATTAATTAATATAATAAGTTAAGCAATTTTATTGAAATTTAAATGGATTATTATATAGAATAAAATGACATTAACAAATCAGTTTTTTTGGTTGGTAGAGGACAAGTTTTATTTAAAGTCTTAAGTTAAACTAAAAAACTTGTATGTAATGCTCAATAACGTATTAAATTGCATTAATTTTTGTGGCGTGTTATTTCCTTATGTTGTGCTACTTTTCCATTTTTGAGAGTGCTATTCAAAGAAAATTTAAACTGTGTTCATATAAAGCCACCCGATCTCTGTGCTTTCCTCCTTATCCAACAACCTTGTCTTGTTCTATCGTTTCTCGAGAACGAAAATCAAAAGAAACGAGATCGAAAGAGGGCACTCATTCCCCGAAAAGATGCAAGACCCAGTTGCAATCATAGTAGGAGCTGGTCCCTCTGGCTTAGCCACCTCTGCCTGCCTAAACCAGCATTCAATCCCTCACATACTCCTTGAAAGAGAAGATTGCTATGCTTCTCTTTGGAAAAAATACTCATATGATCGTCTACGCCTTCACTTGAGAAAACAGTTATGCGAGCTACCTCACATGTCATTTCCTGACTCATACCCCGCCTATGTCCCAAAAGATCAGTTCTTACAATACTTAGATAACTATGTTTCCCACTTCAAGATCAGTCCCATGTACCAGAGAAGTGTTGAGTTTGCGAGTTTCGATGAAGAAGCCAAGAAATGGAATGTTAAGGCTAGAAATGTGAGTTCTGGGGAGATTGAGGAATACTCTGCGAGGTTTTTGGTGGTGGCTAGTGGAGAAACGAGCAATCCTTTTATACCAGAGTTCGAAGGAATTAACACTTTCACTGGAGAGGTTCTTCACTCTACTGAATTCAAAAATGGAAAGACTTACTGTGATAAGAATGTTTTGGTTGTTGGGTCTGGTAATTCTGGCATGGAAATTGCATTAGACCTCGCAAACCATGGTGCAAGAACATCAATCGCCATCCGTAGTCCGGTAACTTAGCATTTGGCTCGATCAATCTTTAATTTGTTTATTTCGAGTATAAATTATTAAATGTTTCTAATGCTCTGTTTTTTTTTTTCTTCTTTAAGAAAATGGTTCGATATCAAATTATGATAACTAACTAGCATGTGTAAATTAATGAATTGTATATGATTGGACCCATGTTCATGCTTGCAGATTCACATTCTATCGAGGGAGATGGTATACTTGGGATTGAATATGTTGAAGTATTTTTCATGTGGCATGGTGGACAAAGTTATGGTGATGCTTAGCAAACTTGTTTATGGAGACTTAAGCAAGCATGGGATAAAGAGACCAAAAGAGGGGCCGTTTTTCATGAAAGTTGCTTACGGGAAGTATCCAGTTTTCGATGTCGGTACCTGCAACAAAATCAAGTCCGGAGAGATCCAGGTATGTTATACATGTATGAATTAGAGAGAGCAGGTAATGGATTTATTTTCGGTTTAATTAGCTAGCAAGTCCTTAAATATACCCAAAAAGAAATGGCTCACAACGGAGAAATTCTTACATTAATCCGGTTTACCATGAGTCCCACCCACACTCATGATGGGTTCAGCAATCATTTTGGTAGCTTCTAACTTAGTTATCAGCAATCAATTTGCTACTAATTTGGTGTCAAAGACGTGCTGTCGTCCTCAACTCCTCTTTTTGCGCACAAAAGTAATGAGATCTCAAATTTATACAGCTGTTGACAACAGGTGGTTGCATGAATGGATGACAACAACTATCATCATCATCATACTATTTAAAGATTTGTCGTCTTGTTCACCTAAATCAGAAGAGTTCATATAACACGTATGGATCACCTTGTACACATTTAACTTGGAAATTACTTCATTTGTCTAGTAAAGTTCTCTGCAAAACCATGTTGTATTGCCAGAAAGTTCCATTCGACTAATAATTGACTGTGTTTGTGCTTGCGTGTATGCCGACAGATGATTATGATGCTAAGCTCGTGAATTTTGTCTTTTGTGTGCCCAGGTCTTGCCCGCACTAGAAAGCATAAGAGGCAATGAGGTGGTATTTGAAAATGGCGAGTCACGCCCCTTCGACACCATTGTTTTTTGTACTGGCTTCGAGAGATCAACTAATAAGTGGCTCAAGGTGGGTAACTTTATCAAACCAGCAGAAAGTTTCCTCACTATTTATGAATCAGTCAGCATAAAGAGAGGGAAATACTGCATGTGTTTACGCGCTTTTGACCAATTATTGTTGTTTTGACCAGGGGGATGATTACCTGTTGAATGAAGATGGGATTCCAAAGCCAAGTTACCCTAACCATTGGAAGGGGAAGGACGGTTTGTATTGTATTGGATTATCAAGGAGAGGTTTGTATGGAGCTAGCGCGGATGCACAGAATGTAGTCGACGATATCAAGGCACTCATTTAGATGGCTTTTGGTTAATGCCCTGAATAAAAAATATGGAAATGATAATTTAAAAAAAGAAAAGAAAATGGAGAGATGCACAATCATGTTTGTGTTTGATAATAGTGAATAAAAGAGATTGATTATCTTTTTATTATATTATATTTATTTGATAGTAAATAAGACTAAAATATAAAATGTATTATTCTAAACTTAACTATTAAAAAAATAATTAATTATTATTATTTTTTACTTTAATTTTCAGTTTAATAATAGTATAATAACTTGATTAAAAATAAATAAGTTAGCCCAACAAATTAAATCATGTTTAAATTTTAAAAAATAAAAAAATTAACTCAAAATAAATAAACACTTTTATGGTAATAAATGTCATGAAACATCAATTCCTCGTGATTGCATACACAAGGTTACAAGACATCCATGGTGTTGCATACTTTGTTAGAAAAAGACCGTTTGAAGGTCTATGAAAGGTTTTTTTTTTTTTTTATTATTATTAATATAGATATTCAAATTAACTTGCACGAGTATATCTTAATTAATATCTTAATTAATTTTACAAGTTTTAAAATTAATAATTATATAAATCTTTAATAATTTTAAAAAACTTAAATTTATAGTTATTAAAAAATAAATACAAAATCTAACTAAAACCTAACTAGTGAAGTTTTTAGTTGCTTGAGTAGCGGTGAATATATTACCTGTGCATTTCATTTTCCAAGTTAGCTATTCTCAATCGACTTACCATTTCAGAGCAATAAAGATCGGAGACAGACCAATTTTGTAAATCCACGATCCCCTGCTAGTAATTCAAAGCCCAAAACAGAAGTTCCCAAAACTTATCTTCCCGGTAGCAAACTGGATGTATTTTATGCCGCGTCAAATGTAACAATAAATAATTTAATTACACAAATTTTCTAATCGTTACATCAAATAATTTCGGCTGACAAGAAAAATGAGCCCTTCAATAATTAGGCTTTTGCCTAATTGGTGTCTAAACATGCAAATTGGTTAAAATCCATCTATCTGGGAATGCCCAGCCAACCAAACAGAATGAAAGGAAAATTAAATGGAAAGAACGGAAGACCATGATCATGTGATTGCATACCAGAAAAGGAGCTCGTGTAATGACCTTGAAAATGAGCAGAAAGCTTGGCATTTATCAATTTGGTGGCTTTTGAGGTTACAACCATACTTTCCACTATTGAGTGTCGTGATAGAGCTCAACTCAGATTGACCTCCCAATTTGGTATCATGCCCATAGGAGTCCATCAAAGCCAATTTCCAGATTTGAAATTGGGCTGTTGCCAAAATCCTGAACTCCAGCTTGGTTGTCTTCCAATGAATCCACATATGGCCCCGATAGATCAGAAGATCGTTCAGATGAGATTCCATAATCTTTGAGATTGTGGAATGAAGAAGCACTCGCTGCTTCTCTCTCCAGCACAACAAGGTAAATGCCTTCAAACTCGAAAACTATGTATTTGTTTTTGCATGCTGATTAAAATCACAAAAACATGAGGACAAAAGTGAAAAAGGAGCAAGGAACAACAAAAACAGAGAAGGGGCAGTCCGCTTACAATCAACAAGGTGTGCTAGGTGATGGATGCTTTTTATTTGAATTCCATTGAACTTCAAAACCTGCAAGTTTTTATTCTTCTTAGTACGTGTGCAAATAATGGCAAGCAGGTGCAGATAACAGTTGTTACTGGTTATAGATAACGTGCCTGTTGATTGCTCATTTCCTCATATCCAAAGTTGACTTCATTTGCCAAGACCTTTCAATAGAATGAAAAAAATCAAGGCAGCGATGTACCAAGATATGCCAACAGTTCGTTAAATTTTCCAATAAAACAAGAATCTTGGCAATGAAATATGATCCTCCTTTAGTAAAACAAAGATTTAATAAGTACAGAAAACTTGCCACTGTAATTACAATAGCATCGCATCTGCAAACTTACCTGTGATAGGATAACAATTTGCTCCCCTTTGAACCTTGCCAGAGAATAACGAGACTTTGCTAGCAGTTTCAACTTAAGGAAGATAAAACCAATCAAATTAAAAACTATATAGGTGACCAATGCAAAAGGTGTTAAAGCAACCTGTCATAGGACTTACCCCTATAGAGTCTTCGCACTCCTCCCTGCCAACAGGAGAACAAAATCTCTTGCATCAGCATTATCACTTACAGCAAGAATACTATTATAAATTAACAGATTAATCACATTACTGAGTGCTTGGAAGTATTCATACTCCATCAGTGGTTCTGAAAGTGGGGTAAACACCAAACCAGCAATTATTAAATGCGAAGGCTGACCTCCATCAACATGATATGGAACCTTGAAGCAAGAAGATAAGAATCCAATTTTTTTTTATATATGAATCCGATAAATCAACTCGTATATGATGCAGAGCCAAGATTCTAATGGCATTACCAAATTCACTCTTGGATTAAGAACTACTTTAACTTTCATGAATGACCCAGCTCTAATAATGCCAAGCTCTGCTACATCACCTGCGAATCTGTTTAAAAACACCATTATATACATACAAAAAAGAATGAAGCCCAAAGAACATTGACTATTTGGATATTAAAGAACATGCTCAAACAAGGTTATGAAGAGACTGAGAAAAAATTCAAAGCCTAACATAAAGAAACAATGGTTGAACTAAAGCCCTTTACTTTTGACTAATAAGATAACGGAATGCAATGTGCTCATTTGATCGAAATGGCACTGTTCCTTCGCATCCTACATGAACATCATCAAAGCTCACAATCACATCCCCCTGAAAAGAACAACTACAATCAAAATTCTCAACAGATACAAATTTGAGGTAAAAAGGAAAATCCATCTCAATAAGAAATTACTTATTCAAGCTTTTCGTCTTTATTCATAAATCAAATTACACCACTAAACAATGCAAGATAATGACTCCCAATTCATACAAGGACTAAATCTTGTGTAACATTAAAATTGCTTGTCTATATTCCTTAATCCTATTGCAGTCTGAACACCACAAAAATGCAGCATGGATATTTATATATAGATTAGTTTGGCTGACAATAATGAGAAACATTATAACAATAATCCAAGGTTTTCCTTCCTGATAACATGTTAGCAAGAATATACTATTTACAATTCAAATAGAGCAAGCTTTGAAGCCACTAGTGGCCACTGCACCTCCTTTAAGACTCTATTAGCATCAGAGATTGGTTCAACTCTTCGTACCAACACACCCTGCACAAAACAGATGTTATTAGGGAACTGCTTGACAGATTCATGCTATGAAGTTGCAACAACATAACTCTTTCACCGGATACATTGGTGCTACTGGGTTGCGGGGGGGAGAAAGCAAACAAAGGCTACAAATGAATTGATTCCTCCATTTTCCATTTTCCATTTTCCATTTTTCAGGGAGCATTGAAGAACTCCCCCTTCTCTACTAATTGAAAATGTGCAAGTTTTTCACGACATTCAGCAGAATGTTCCATGCATTGGCAACATACAAATAACTCTTCAAATCATAGAGTAGAACTTCAAGGTACTGCTTCCAGGATGCCATAAGCCTATAACCATGAAAAAATCTACAAAATGATACCACTGTTTAATCACATGATAAGTAAAGCTTGAAATTTATATATAAAATATGAAAGTGTACTTCACTTTTAAGGTAATTATAAATGTCCATTAGTTTAGGTACTAAGGAGGTGCTAACCATTCGCTAAAGCAAGAGGAATGAGGTAACAAAAAAGGCTGACTATACATCACATAAACTATATGCAGAATCAGAATGTGGAAATTAAGAACTCGTAAGGCGGCGAGGAAAAAAACTGTCAGTGTGTATAGTTTTAACCCAAAAATCTTCCATACTTCATCCCCCTCAAATAGAGATTTTCATTTCTCTTTTCACAAACCCAAAAATATTCCTGAAAGCATACAACCACATGAATCACTTTTTCCCCACAACATCTCTAAACTTTTTAGCTCTCAATACACTTAACTGACATAAACTAACAGCAACCAACCATCCCATAAATCACAGCTGCATTTCACAATTCACTTTTTCCCCATGCTAACACCTCCAGTACCACTTTCCACCTATGTCATTACTCCTTGATCTGCTCCAGAAACCTCGCATTAGCTGCTGAATTATCCTTCCAAACCTAACTTGATCCACCCATTGGCAAACCACCCATATTCACAAAAAACAAAAAAATAAAAAATAAAAAAAATAAACACTCTCCAGCTCAGAATTCGTTTTAGCAAACCACCATAGTAATGCCACCCCACGCTCATAAAGTTAAACTTGTGTTAACTTGAATTTACAAAAGCACATCCACAGTTTCAAAAGAAAAAAAAAAACAGAGGACTAGAAAAATTACAAATTACATGAACAATGCCAGACAATCTGAAAGCCAAAAAAAAAAAAAAGTACTTAACAAAGAGGCATACCCCATTAGAATTTACTTTTAAGCATGCACGTAATGCTGGATTCTCCAACTTTTGCAGCAACACACCAAGGGAAGGAAAGCCTAGAAGTCAACTACATGATCAAGGCACATGCTAGGTTTGCATTACAAAAATCAATCAGGTACCAGTACGTGAAAAGAAAAGCAGAGCAATGGTTAATCTAGAAAGTAACAAGTGATATGATAAATGTTACTAAATAGATTCAAAAGGAATTCAGAACATTCCAAGGCACTGATATATATATGTGTGTGTGTGTGTCTATAAATACTCTCAACAACCTTCACAACAACAAATGAGAACTAAAGAGTATCTACACCAGAGAATAGCCTGCGGGGACCTATTAAAGAACAAGTGTAAGATAATAGTCACATGAAACTTGCAAGTTAAAAGTGGTTATGGAAGAACCAAAAAGAGCAAGAAGCCATTACTACCTTTGCACAGACTTGATAACTAGTAGTTCTATATGATGTTGGTCAAAATAAGAGCATGAAATTTTTAGAGGAAGCTTGGTCCTTAAAATTGGCATGCATTTCATTGCATGTCAACATTCAAATTCGACACATTGAGTTTCAATGCCAGAA